ACAGAGATCTGCCTGCCTCTGCCTCCCAAGTGCTGGAATTAAAGGTGTGTGCCACCACACCCCGCTTTATTTTTATTTTTTTAAAAAATGTGTTGGGGCCTGGTCTACATAGTGAGTTCCAGAACAGCTGGGGCTACAGGGAGAGCCTGCTTCAAAAAGACAAAAAAAAAAAAATGTGTTGGGGACTCTGAAGAGACGGCTCAGTGGTTAAACACTGACTGCTCTTGCAGAGGACCTGGGTTCGATTCCCAGGAACCACATGGCAGCTAACAACTGTCCATAACTCCAGTTCCAGGGGATCCAAAATCCCTTTCTGTCCTCTTCTGTCCTCTGTGGGCACTGCATGACACAGGTGCACTTACACACATGCAGGCATAACACTCATACACATAAAATAAAAATCAAAATAAATAAATAAATAACAGAAAACTGGGGGCTGGAGAGGTAGCTCAGTGGTTAGGAGCACTGGCTGTTTTTGCAGAAGACCCAGGTTCAAATTCTAGCACCCACATGGTGGCTAGCAACCATCTATAACTTCAGTTCCAGGGGATTTGACTCCCTCTTCTGTCCTCCATGGGCATTGCAAAACATGGTTGCACAGGCATAACACTCATAGACATAAAATAAAAGTAAAACAAAACAAAAGAAAAAAAAAACAGATGGGGCTGGAGAGATGGCTCAGTGGTTGAGAGCACTGATTGCTCTTGCAGAGGACCCAGGTTCGATTCCGAGCACCCACATGGCAGCTATGAACTGTCCTTAACTCCAGTTCCAGGGGAATCTGAAGCCCTCTTCTGACCTCCGCGGCATTGCAGGACACAGGTGCACTCACATACACGCAGGCAATACACTCATACACATAAAAAATAAACTAATAATGCCGGGCGTGGTGGCGCACGTCTTTAATCCCAGCACTCGGGAGGCAGAGGCAGGCAGATCTCTGTGAGTTCGAGGCCAGCCTGGTCTACATAGTGAGTTCCAGGACAGCTGGGGCTACAGGGAGACCCTGTCACAAAAAGACAAAAAATAATAAATAATAAATAAATAAATAAATAAATAAAATACTTAAAAGAACAGAAAAGAAAGAAACAAAAGATGCATAAGGGGCCATCAAGATGGCTCAGTGGATGAAGGTGCCTGCAATCAAGTCTGACGACCCGAGTTCTGTATCTGGGACCTACATCATAGGTGAGAGTAAGAGAATCAGAGAGAAGTCCCGGAGAACAAAGACTCAACATGATTTCGGGTGCAGGAGCTCACTCAGAACATACAGATAAATAGAACACTAGAACAATCAGACTACTGGGCAGGCCCCAGACATGGTTGGCTCTGACTTTGGGTCACCCCAGAGCCAGGACATCAGCAATGGACATCCAATTCCTTATGCAGGGTCCAAGTTCATAGAGCAAAGCCTATAGGAGCCCGCTCATCCCTGCACACACAGCAGGAGCTACCTGGCACAGCCTCAGAAGGGCCACGGTGGAGTGGGCGTCTTCTGAAAATCACTCAAACCTTTCTTCCTAGCCAGCATGGTGGCCCAGGCCTGTAATTCTAGCACTTGGGAGGCTGAGCCTGGAGCATAGAGCAAGATTCTGTGTGGAAAAGCCAAGAAAAATAAAACAAAATACCTAAGGCTATCACTCAAGAAGCTGAGGAAGGAGGATAGTACCGAGTTCAAGGACAGCTTGTACTACAGAGTGAGAGACAGGTCTTGCAAAACCAAGAAAGGCAGGTGTGGTGGCACTGGCCTTTAGTCCCAGCACTTGGGAGGCAGAGGCTGGTGGATCTTTGTGAGATCCAGACCAGCCTGGTCTACATAATGAGTTCCAGGGCAGCCAGGGCTATGTAGTGAGACCCTATCAAAACAAGTAAAAAATAAAATACAAGCCAGGGGTGGTTCCAGGCCAGCTTGGGGCTACAGGGAAACCCTGTCTCAAAAAAATCAAAAGAAAAAAAGAGAAAAAAAGAAATGCCAAGACAGATAAAATTCCATAAATAATACAACATAATAAAAAATCAAATAAAGACAAAGCAGAACAAACAAAACAAAATATGGGAGGCAGACGCAGAGGCAGGCAGAGCTCTGGGAGTTCAAGGCCAGCCTGGTCTACACAGCGAGTTCCAGACCAGCTGGAGCAACAGGGAGACCCTGTCTCAAAACAAAAATTAAAAAATAATAAATAAAATAAAATAAAACAAAGACACAAATGTCCCCTCCCAAAGGCTCCAGTCTTAGGGGAAGCAACACAGTAACATCTCCTCATCTTCCCGTAGCTACGGCGCCCTCTAGCGGACAAGGCGCACCCTGGCTGCAATTACTGCGCAGGCGCAGAATAAGGCGGGCCTGGACTTCCGGTGCTGCCCGGAAACTAGTGATGGCGTCACGAGGCGGAAAACATTGGCGTCACGGGGCGGAGCTTCGGGTGGCGGGAAGATCGGGCACTGGAATGGAAGCGGAGGAGAGCGGCAATGGTGCCGGGGAGAGCGGGACGCAGGGTTCTGCGTCTGTTGTCAGCAAGGCCGCAGGCGGCGCTGGCCACTACGAGCTGCCGTGGTGAGGGTGCTGCCATGAGTGGCGCGGGGGTGGGGCGGTCGGGGCGGGCCCAGCTCAGGGGCGGGGCCTCGGGAGTTTCTTGGGGACCCTTGTGGGACTGGTGTTCTTTTTCTTTCTCTTTTAAATACATGATCTCACTCTTTTGTTGGTTTTTTTTTTTTTTTTTTTTTTTTTTTTTGGTCTTTTTGAGGCAGGGTCTCCCTGTAGCCACAGCTAGCCTGGAGCTCACTATGTAGATTAGGCTGGCCTTGAACTCACAGAGATCCGTCTGCCTCTGCCTCTGGGTTTACAAGCCTGCGCCACTAAGTCCGTCCTGTTTTTGTTTCTTTCAATTAAATTTTTATTTTTTGTGTGTGAGTGTAGTATTGCCTACATGCACGTAAGTGCACCTGTGTTCTGCAGTGTCCATGGAGGCCAGAAGAGGGCTTTGGATCCCCTGGAACTGGAGTTAAGGACCTTTGTTTGCCACCATGTGGGTGCTGGGAACCAAATCCCAGTCCTCTGCTAGAGCAGTCAGTGCTCTTTACTGCTGCACCATCTCCCCAGCCCCTCTTGGTTTGTTTCCTTTTGAGACAATATCTCATGTAGCTCAGGCTGGCCTCTAACACACTATGTAACGGAGGATGACCTTGAACTCCTGATCCTCCTGCCTCCCTGGGCTGACAGGCTTACACCACCATGTCTATTTTATGCAGGCTGTGGATAGAATTGGGGCTTCCCTGCATCCTGGGCACTCTTAACAGATGAGCCTCATCCAAGTCCTTTTTCTCACTGTGTAGTCCAGGCTGACCTTGAACTTGTAGCAGCCATCCTGTCTCAAGTTACCAAGTGTTGGCATGACATGTGACAACCACCTGATCCAATTGGAGGTTTTTGTTTATTGATGTGGGATGTGGGTCTCCAAGTTCATGTGTCTAGAGTGAAGTTTGAACTTGGCCTGCAGGGTGTCATGCAATATAGTGCTGGTACATTTTATTTTTTAGTATATCATGAAAAATCTCAGTCATGGGCCAGGCGTGGTGGTGCAGGTCTTCAATCCCAGCACTCAAGAGGCATAGGCAGGCAGATCTCTGTGAGTTCCTGGCCAAGCAGGGCTACATGGGACCCTGTCTCCAAAAAAGAAAAGGCCAGTGAGATGGCTTAGCCCATCAAAGTTACTTTCCACCAAGCCTGACTGCCTGCGAAGGCATTCAGTCCCTGACTTCTACATGGAGGAAGGAGAAAACTGACTTCAGCAAGTTTTCCTCTCTCTTCTTCACATGTACCATGGCAGGTGCATGTGCATGCATACATAATAAATACATAATGTAAAAAACTGAAGAAGCAGGCTGGAGAGATGGCTCAGCAGTTAAGAACACTGGTTGTTCTTGCAGAAGACTCGGGTTCGAATCCCAGCACTCACATGGCAGCTAACAACTGTCTGTAACTCCAGTTCCAGGGGATCTGACAGCCTCTTATGTCCTCCACGGGCATTGCATGACACGGGTGCACCTACCTACACGCAGGCAATACATGCATACACATAAAATAAAAAACTGAAGCAACAAAATATAATAAAGGGCAAAGGGAGTCTTGATGGTCAAATCTTTGTACCTCTTCTGCCATCAGTGTGCTGACTTGAAGAATCTCATTTTCTTTAAAAAAAATTATTATTATTTTTTTTTATCTTTTTGAGACAGGGTCTCCCTGTAGCCCCAGATGTCCTGGAACTCACTGTGTAGACCAGGCTGGCCTTGAACTCACAGAGATCTGCCTGCCTCTGCCTCCTGAGTACTGAGATTTAAAAAAATTTTATTTTTATTTTTTCGAGACAATGTCTCCCTGTACCCCAGCTGGCCTGGAACCTGTTCTGTAGACCAGGGTGGCCTCCATTGCACAGAGATCCTCCTGCTTCTGCCTCCCAAGTGCTGGAATTAAAGACGTGTCACCAGGCTCAGCTGTTTCTTTTATTTTTATTTTAAATTTTATTTTGTGTGTGTTTACATGTGGAAGTCAAAAGACAATTTTCTGAAGTCATTTCTCTCCTTTTCCCTTGTGGGTTCTGGTGATCAAATTCAAGTCTTCAGGCTTGTCAGCAAGCATCTTTACCCACTGAGCCATTTCACTGATGCCTATCTTTTAATTTTTTGAAATAGTCTCATGTGGCACAGACTAACCTTGAACTTCTGATCTTCCCGCCTCTACCTCCGAAGTACTGCAATTACAAGTGTTTACTACCACAGCTTATTTTCTTTTATTATTTTTAAATATATTTTATTTCTTTTTCTTCATTTTGTTTTATGCATGTATGTAAGTGCACGTGTCATGTGCCCTGGAGGCCAGAAGACAGGGTTGGATCCCCTGGAACTGGAGTTATGAGTGGTTGTTAGCTGCCATGTGCTAGAACCAAACCTGAGTCTCTATAAGAATAGCCAGTGCTCTTAACTGCTGAACCATCTCTCCAGCCCCCTAACATAGTAATTTTTAGGATTACGCGTATTTTGTGTATGTTTGTGTGCTGTCCTGACATATCCTGCAGTGTACATGTGAAAATCAGAGGACAACTTGGGGGAGTAAGTTCTCTGTTCCCACCCTGTGGGTCCAAGGGCTCATACTCAGATCATCCAGCTTGGCAGCTTTATCCAGTGAACCCTCTTGCCAGCCCCTTACTTTTTGTTTTTGAGACAAGGTCTGGATATGTAGTGGAGGCAAGCTTAGAAGTCAAGGGCCCTCTGGGTTAGCCTCCCATATGTCTGAATGACAGCAGACACTGCCTCACCCTGGTAAAGCATGCAGGATTACCCCATCCTGCTCCATCCTTTTGAGCAGTGTGAGATTAACCATGTCAGCATTTTTTTTTTTTTTTGCTTTTTCCTAAAACAGGGTTGAAAAATACAGGCCAGTAAAGCTCAATGAAATTGTTGGAAATGAAGACACTGTGAGCAGGTTGGAGGTAAGGGACTTTGTCAACTGAGCTAACATCATACTGTGACGCTAATAAGCCAGTGGCAGTTGGAGAAAACTGTCCAAGATAGTGAAGGAGAGGCTTTATTGAGTACTTTGCTCATTGCTCAGACAAAATACCTGATAAAAAGAACTTAAGGAAGGAAGGGTTTATTGTAGCTCACAGTTTGATGATGCAGTCCATCATGGTGGGAAGGCATGGCACCAAGAGCACCCACAGTCAGGATGCAGAGAGATGAATGCTGGTGCTCTGCTCACTTTATCCTTTTTAAAAAATATTTAATTTTATTATTTTATGTGTATGAGTGTGCTATCTGCATGCGTGTAAGTGTACCCGTGTCATGCAATGCCTGCGGAGGTCAGAAGAGGGTGTCGGATGCCCTGGAACTGGAGTTATAGGTGGTTGTTAGCTGCCATGTGGGTACTAGGATTTGAACTTGGGTCCTCTACTAGAACAGCCTCTTAACCACTGAGCATTTCTCCAGCCTGCTTTCTCCTTTTCATGCAGTCCCCAGTCCATGGGATGGTGCTGTCCACATTCAGGGTGGCTTTTCCCACCTCAGTAGATGTCATAGGACAACTTGCAGGTTCCCTCCTGCTACCATGTGTGTTCTGGAGATGCAACACAGGTCATCAGTCTTGGCGGCAAGTGCATTGAACCACTGAACCATCTTGCCAGCCCATTTGTTTTGAGACAGGATTTTGATTTGTAGCCCAAGCTGGACTTGAGTTCTGAGCCTCCTTTCTCAGCCTCCTGAGTGCTGAGATTAGAGGCATACAACACCACACCTGGCTTAACCAACCTCTTTCGCTCAGGTCTTTGCAAGAGAAGGCAATGTGCCCAATATCATCATTGCGGTGAGTACTCAGGCCTGGTCCTCTGGCATCTCACATCCTCAGGGAGGCTCCCCACCATTTCACTCACCTTAGCATTAATGAGAGACCTATGGGTCACTGGCTGGAATGGGGTGGGGTGGAGAGTCACAGGAGCAAGTGCCAACGATGTGCAGTGGGAAACAGCAGGACCTGCATAGGGGTCCTTCTGTCATGAAGCACTTAGGGCAGCCTTCTTCCCCAGGGTCCCCCTGGAACTGGCAAAACAACCAGCATCCTGTGTTTGGCGCGAGCACTGCTGGGCCCAGCCCTGAAAGATGCTGTCCTGGAACTCAACGCTTCCAATGACAGGTGTGGTGGGAAGAGGTGGAGGCCTTTTGTTCCATGTGTGTATAGAAATGACTTTGCTTTAGGTCTAGCTTGTGCCTTGCACTCACCTCACTGGCTCCACATTTGCATCCCTCCCTTCCCAGTGACCCCAGCAGGAGAATCAGGAGAATCAGCGCCTGCTAGTGTCTGATTCTTGTTTTTGTTTCTGTTTTTGTTTTGTTTGTTTTGGTGTTTTGTTTTGTTTTTGAAACAGGGTCTCCCTTTGGCCAGCTGGCCTGGAACTCACTATGTAGACCAGGCTGCCTTGAACTCACAGAGATCCACTTGCCTCTGCCTTCTGGGTGCTGGGATTAAAGGTGAGCTGAGCACCACCATGCCTGGCTTTTTTGGTTTTTGTTTTTTAATGTGTATAAGTGTACTGCCTACATGTGTGGAAGTGTACCCACGTCATACACTACCCGAAGAGGTCAGAAAAGGGCATAGAATTCCCCTGGAACTGGAGTTACGGACGATTGTTAGCTACCTTGAGGGTGCTGGGAATTGAACCTGGGTTCTCTGTAGGAGCAGCTAGTGCTTGGGGCTGGAGAAATGGCTCAGCAGTTAAGAGCACTGACTGCTCTTGCAGAGGACCTGGGTTCGATTCCCAGCACCCACATGGCAGCTACGAACCGTCCTTAACTCCAGTTCCAGGGGAATCCGAAGCCCTTTTCTGACCTCCACACCATTGCACAACACGGGTGCACTCACATACATGCAGGCAATACACTCATGTACATAAAAATAAAATAATAAATAAAATATTTTTACAAAAAAGAGCAGCTAGTGCTCTTAAATACTGAGCCAGCTCACTGTTTCAGTTTTTTGAGATAGTATTTTACTCTGTAGCCCTGACTAGCCTGGAATTCTCTATGCAGACCATGCTAGCCTCAAACTCAACAGAGATTTGCCTGCCTCTGCCTCCCAAGTGCCGGGATCAAAGGTGTGCATCACCATACCTGGCTGATGGCCTTTTGAATTATTCTTTCTCTCTCTCCCTCTCTCTTTTTTGCATAACATTTATTCTCTCTGTTTTAAAAAATTATTTGTATTACTTTTTTTTAAAATTTGGGGGTGGCCTGTGCTACTGCAAGCATGTGGAGATCAGAGGAAAACGTGGAGTCAGCTCTCTTCTACTATGTGGGACCCTTGAACTCAGGTTGTGAGGGTTGACAGCAAGTGCCTTACCTAGTGAGCCATCTTCCTGTTCTCCATGTGTTTTTGTGCGTTTGTACAACTGAGTATAATTGCCAGAGGAGGGTGTCAGATCTTCTTGAGATGTTATAGGTGGTCATGGACTGAACTGCCAAAGTAGGTGCTGAGAACCCAACTTAGATCCTCTGCAAGAGCAGCAAATGCTCCACTGCTAAGACTGTTCTCCAATTCTTATTTTTTGGATGTTTTTGTTGTTGCTTGAGACAGGATCTCATTTTTTAGTTCTGGCTATCCTGGAACTTACTATATAGACCATGCTAACCTGGAACTCAAAGAGATCCGCCTGCCTCTGCCTCCTAAGTGCTGGGATTAAAGGCGTGCACTGCAATGCCTTACTCACTTTTGGGGTTTTTAAAACAGGATTTCTGTAGTCCACTCTAGCCTTGAATTCATTTTGTAGCCAAAGATGTTCTTGAGCTCATATTCCTTCTGCCTCAGCCTCCCAAATGCTGGGATTGCAAGTGTGCACCATGGTACAGTGCTAAAACTAAGTATCCATTTCAGTAATGGTAAATATAGCCATGCTGTTGTGCAACCAGGCATCAGAACTTTTTCATCTTGCAAAACTGAAACTACTCTGTACCCTTTAAGCAGCTTCCCGTTTCCCTTTGCTGCAGCCCCTGAGAACCACAGTCTACCTTCTGTTTTTATCTCACTGACTATTCTAGGTCACTTGTGGTGCAGGGAGCTGTTCAGAGTTTTACTTGTTCTGTTTCCCTCAGCGCAACGTCCATCCTGTAGCAAGTAGGACAGTTTCCACCTGCATATCACGTCACATCTACTCATCTGTCACTGACTTGCTTCACCTTTTTGTATGTGTGGTGCTACGGTTGGAACCCAGGGCCTAGTTTGTGCTAGGTAGATGTTCTGCTACTGAGCCATAACCCCAGCCCTTCATTGGGGAATTGTAGGCAGGTGCTGTACCACTGAGCCATGTCCTCAGCTCTTTTTGTTTTTCTTAAGAGTCTTAAGTTAGCCTTGAACTCACTTTAGGTCAGGCTTACCTTAAACTTTTGATCCTCCTGTCTCAGCCCCCCAAGAAACTAGCATTATAGTCTACACCACCACATTTTCTTTCTTTTTTATAAATTTTAATTTTTTAATTTTTTTTTTTTTTTTTTTTGCTGGGCATGGTGGCGCACACCTTTGGTTCCAAGCACTCAGGAGGCAGAGGCAGGCTGATCTCTGAGTTCAAGGCCAGCCTGGTCTACATAGTGATTTCCAGGTCAGCTGGGGCTACAGGGAGATCCTGTCTCAAAAAGACCAAAAAAAAACCCAACACAGCTGACCTGGAACTCAACTATATAGACCAGGCTGGCCTTGAACTCACAGAGATCTGCCTGCCTCTGTCTCCCAAGTGCTTGCCACCACACCTGGCTTATTTTTATGTATATGTATGTATTGCCTGCATGTATGTAAGTGCACCTGTGTCATACAATGCCCAGAGAGGCCAGAAGAGGGCATCGGATCCCCTGGAACTGGAGTTGGGGATGGTTGTAGCCACCATATGGGTCCTGGGAAGCAAACCTGGGTCCTCTGCAAGAGCAGCCAGCGCTCTTTACCACCGAGCTCCTCTCTTAGTGTGTGTGTGTATGTGTGTGTGTGTGTGAGAGAGAGAGACAGAGACAGAGACAGAGAGAAGAGAGAGAGAGACAGGGTCTCGTGTAGCCCAGGCTGTCCTTAAACTCACTTTGTATCTAAGGATGACCTCCTGATCCTTCTGTCGTCATTTCCCTGGTGCTGGGATTACACTCATGTACCACCACACTCGGTTTGCGTGCCGCTGTGTGTGGAACCCAGGGCCTCATGCATACCAAGGAAGCCCTGTACCTTCTGAGCCACATCCCTAGCCTGCTTTGCTTTTTGCAACACCTCCAAGGAGGAATAAATGTCATTAAATATGAATCTTGATAAACAGATAACTTTACTCAGAAAGGAAGTTCTCAAATTAAAATTAGGTCCTGTAGCCTTTAGTAGCCAGGTGGAGGATTTGAGAGTACCTTGTAAGGTTGTGGGGAGAGGTGCACATGAGAAATCCCAGCACCAGTGAGACTAAGGCAGGGGGATTTCAATGTTATAGGAAAACTCTGTTTCAAAAAAGTAAAATACGGGGCTAGAGAGATGGCTCAGCTGTTAAGAACATTGACTGCTTTTGTGGAGGATCCAGGTTTGGTTTCCAGCACTCAGGTCAGATATGTCACAACCACCTCTAACTCCAGTGTGAGGATCCAACACCTTCTCTGGACACCAGGGGCACCTGCAGGCACATGGACAGGCACAGACACAAACACAAATATACATCCATAAAAATAAAAAAAATAAAAAGTAAGATAGGATCAGTAGAAGGCTCAGAGTATGATCCCAAGAATCAGTGGAGAGAAGTTGTCTTCTGACAGCCACATGCACCACATGCATGTGTAATCCCCCTCTCTCCACAGTAACAATAAGGTAAATTTAAATAAATAAACATCCTCAAGTTGTACACCCGACATTCTTCCTGTTTCAGGGGCATCGATGTGGTGAGGAATAAAATCAAAATGTTCGCCCAGCAGAAAGTCACCCTTCCCAAAGGCCGACACAAGATCATCATCCTGGATGAGGCTGACAGGTGTGGCTGGAGACAGGGTTTCCCTCAAAGCCCAGGCTGAGCTCCCAACTTTCAATGCCCCTGTTTCTGCCTCTTGAGCATGAGGAATGGCCAACCTGTGCTCCCAGGCCCAGCACCAACTGCCCCCTTCTTGTTTGCCTTAGCATGACAGACGGTGCCCAGCAGGCCTTGAGGAGAACCATGGAAATCTACTCCAAGACCACGCGCTTTGCTCTGGCCTGTAACGCTTCCGACAAAATCATAGGTGGGTGTGCACCATAAGCAGCTGCATCCAGTGAGGCGCCATCTTTTATTTACTTTTTACTTAATGAGTGTTTTGCCTGCATGTATGTTAAATGCATTTTTTTTGTATGTGTGTACAGGGTGCAGCCTGCCACAGCATGTGTGTGGAGGTCAGAGGACAGCTTGTGGGAGTCAGTTCTTTCCTTCTACCATGTGGGTCCTAGGGACTGAAACAAGCCTTTATCCACCAAACCATCTTGCTGGCCTTACTTGCCTTATTTTTATATTTTTTTTCCCCTGTTCGGTACTGCAGATGGAAGCTGGATGTCCTAGTTGCTTCTTTGTCATAAAACATTGACTTAAGCTGGGTGTGACTGCACATGCCTTTAATCCCAGCACTTGGGAGGCAGAGGCAGGCAGATCTCTGTGAGTTCAAGGCCAGCCTGGTCTACATAGTGACTTCCAGGCCAGCTGGGGCTACGGGGAGACCCTGTCTCAAAAAGACCAACAAAGCCAAAACAACAAAACAAAAACATCATTGACTTAAACTAACTTGGGGGAGGAAGGGGTTTATTTGGCAGGCAACTGACTGTCCATCATCAAGGGAAACCAAGGCAGGAACTTAAGCAGAGACCATGGAGGAATGCCGCTTACTGTCTTGCCCAGCCACCTTTCCTTTCTTTGTTTGTTTTGGTTTTGGGGTTTTGGGTTTTTTGGGGGGTGGGTTCCTTTTGAGACAGGGTCTCCTTGTAGCCCCAGCTGACCTAGAACTTGCTATGTAGATCAGGTTGGCCTTGCACTCCCAGACATCTGCCTGCCTCTACCTCCCAAGTGCTGGGTTTGAAGGCCAGCTTCAGCTACCTTTTTACTTTATTTATTTACTTTTTAAAAATGTTTTATTTATTATTTTTATTTTATGTGTATGAGTGTATTGCCTACATGTATGTGAGTGCACCTGAGTTGTGCAATGCCGTGGAGGTCGGAAGAGAGCTTCGGATTCCCCTGTTACCGGAGTTAAGGATGGTTCATAGCTGCCATGTGGGTGCTGGGAATCAAATCCAGGTCCTCTGCAAGAGCAGTCAGTGCTCTTAACCGCTGAGCCATCTCTCTAGCCCCCTCAGCTGCCTTTCTTACACAGCCCAGGCCTACCTGCCCAGGGATGGCACCACCCATATCAATTAGCAATTAAGAAAATGCCCCATACAGATCAGGCCCTGCACCCACCATCCATACCCTGTATCCACCACCTCCATCCCATGAGGGAAAAAAAAAAAAGTTAAACAGCCGGGCATGGTGGTGCATGCCTTTAATCCTAGCACTGGGGAGGCAGAGGCAGAGGCAGGCAGATCTCTGTGAGTTCAAGGCCAGCCTGGTCTACATAGTGAGTTCCAGGACAGCTGGAGCTACAGAGAGACCCTGTCTCAAAAAGACCAAAAAATGCCACCACCCCCAGCTCCTAGTTTTTTTGAAGCAGGGTCTCCCTGTGGCCCCAGCTATCCTGGAACTCACTATGTAGACCAGGCTGGCCTTGAACTCTTGAACTCAGAGATCCGCCTGCCTCTGCCTCCCAAGTGCTAGGACTACAAGCTTGCGCCACCACGCCTGGCAACAGAGATATATTTGTATTATATAAAGTTTGTACAGTACCAAAAAAGACAGAAAAAAAAAAAGGTGTACTTTTTTTTTTCCATTATTGTAGGTAAATGGTAGTGGAAGCCTGTTTTGTGAATGTAATAAAATGTATAAATATGGTTTTCAGAAAACAACAAAAAAAGAAAATGCCCCATAGACATGGCCACAGGCCAGTCTGATAAAGGAAATTCCTTAGTTGAGGTTCCCTCTTCCTAGGTGTGTCTGAGTTTATATTATTAGGTTGAGTAGATCTAACCTGCATCTCAGGGCTTTGAGCATGTTACACAAGTACTCTACCAACTGAGCCACATCCTCAGCCCTCTTTATTTTTATATTTTATGTGTATCAGTGTTTTGCCTACATGTGTATAAGTGTACTGTGTCATGCTATGCCTGTGGTGGCCAGAAGCGGCATCAGATCCCCTGGAACTGGGGTTACAGATAGTTGTTAGCCATCATGTGGGTGCTGGGAACCCTACCCAGGTCTTTTGCAAGAGCAGCCAGTGCTCTTAACTGCTGAGTCATCATTCTAGCCGTTTATTTTTTATTTTAAGACCTGGTCTTCTCTACAGTGCCCATACTGGCCCTGAACTCTCTGTAGCCCAGGCAGGCCTTGAATTTGCAATCCTCCACCTCAGCCTCCAGAGTAGTTGAGATGGCTGTACACCAGGCCCACTGGAGTGTATTCTAGCTCTTTTTGAAAAAAAATTTTTTTAATTTATTTATTGTTTTTATTTTACATGTATGAGTGTGTTGCCTGCATGTATGTGAGTGCACCCATGTCATGCAGTGCCACAGAGGTCAGAAGAGGGCTTCAGAGTCCCCTGGAACTGGAGTTAAGGATGGTTCATAGCCGCCATGTGGGTGCTGGGAATCGAACCCAGTCTGCAAGAGCAGTCAGGCTCTTCACCGCTGAGCCATCTCTCCAGCCCCCATTCTAGCTCTTCTGCCTGCCCGGCCCTTGGCTTTGAGTCTGTCTGTGTGCTGAGCTTTGTCTCTACCAGGAGTGATCTCCAAACCCTTACACTCCAGTGTCCTTGCAGCACCCTCCCTGGTGCTGCTCACTATGTTAGCCTTCCCTGTCAGGAGAGTGTCTGCTGCCTGCTCTGTCACACACTGCATGCACAGTGAGTGCTCTCTCACTTCTGTCTCACGTCATCTCTGCCTCACTTCCATCCTGCTGATCCTCAACTGTGCAGGCTCATCTATCCACTTCCCCCTTCTGCACCCATCTGTGTGTGCTCACACGTAGGCGTGTGACCATATGCTTGCTGCCCACCAGCTCACAGCTGCCAACCTGGACAGAAGCCCCCCTCCCCTTTTTACTCTTTCAAAATTATATTTATTTGTGTGTATGTGTGTGGCCATGTGTACCACTGTGTGCAGAGAACAAGTTATAGGAGTCAGGTCTCTCCTTTCACCATGCAGGACTCAGGTTATCAGGCTTGGTGGCAGGTACCTTCACCCACTGAGCCATCTCACTGGCCCTGGTCTTTTTTTGTTGTCGGGGTTGGCAGGGTTATATTTTGAGCCAGCAACTGAGAGGTTGACCTTGAACTCTAATCCTCCTGTCTCTACCTCCTAAGTGCTGGGATCACAGGCATACAGCACCACACCTGGCTTCCTTATAGACCTTTAAAGAGGCTACAGGCGTTCTGTTCCTCCTAACCTGATGGAGCTGGTCTGAAGGGTCCTGCCCAGCCCATGCTGGAACTCATCAGAGGACTTGCATGTAGAGGTGTAGGTCCTGAGGCTCACTTCCCATGTGTGCTGGGTGATGTTGGCTTGGGTCTTGTCAGTACTTCTTGGCTCAGCTGTGTCCTTTGAGCGGCAGCCAGCCATACCAGGAGCCCTTAGTCTGCTCTCTCTCTCCAGAGCCCATCCAGTCTCGCTGTGCAGTGCTCCGCTACACCAAGCTCACAGATGCACAGGTCCTCACCAGGCTCATGAATGTCATCGAGAAGGAGGAAGTGCCCTACACGGATGATGGCCTGGAAGCTATTATCTTTACTGCCCAGGGAGACATGCGCCAGGTTGGTACATCACATCACCACCCTTAGGAGCTGAGGTTGGAAAGTGAGTGCTGTACGAGTCAGAGTGAGGACCAGGGACCAGCACCCTGAAAGACAGTGAGCTGCTGTGGAAGGTGGGTATCGGGGCTCTGAGAGAGGTGGGAGAAGGTGGGTATCGGAGCTCTGAGAGAGGTGGGAGAAGGTGGGTATCGGAGTTCTGAGAGAGGTGGGAGAAGGTGGGTATCGGAGCTCTGAGAGGTGGGAGAAGGTGGGTATCGGAGCTCTGAGAGGTGGGAGAAGGTGGGTATCGGGGCTCTGAGAGAGGTGGGACGGGCAAAGCCATCCAAGTCATCCTTGTGTCTCTTGTCCTTCATCAGGCACTGAACAACTTGCAGTCTACATTCTCAGGATTCGGCTATATCAACAGCGAGAATGTATTCAAGGTACCAGAACTGGGGAGAGCCAGGAGGACCTGCACAGCCACTGGGAGAAGTAGACTATGGCCAGGCGTGGTGGTCCACACCTACCAGCCCACCAGCCCAGCACTCAGGAGGCTGTGGCAGGAGGATCACAAGTTCCAGGCCAGCCTGGGCTACAGAATAAGACCCTGCCTTTAAAAAAAGGCCTAGGGATGTGGCTCAGTGGGTAGATTGCTAGCCTGACACAAGGCCCTGGGTTCCATCCATAGTACCACATATACTAGGCATGATGGTGACCACCTATAATCCCAGTACTCAAAAGTTGAGGCAGGAGGGTTGTGAGTTGGGGCTAGCCTGGGCTGCATAATGAGGACACCCCACCCCTCATTTCAAAAAGAGAGAGAAGTGTGATTGTATCCAACAAAGGTGACATTACTTGAGTTCGGTGCCTAAGAGAGTATCTGCTCCCATTTGTCCTTCCCACCATGACTTTTTCTTTCACACCCAGGAGAGCCAGGGGAGGGTCTTGGGAAGGTCCCAAGTGTGGGCGGTGGGAGGCTGACTGTTGTCTTGGTAGGTGCATTCCTGCTTGGAGATGTGCTTCCCCCCACCCCATACTGACAGTCAGGCTCTAAGAGCTGTGCTCAGCCCCCCTGCAGCTGTTCTGCCTGCCCTTGCCCTTCACTTCTGCTGGGGGGTGGGGGGTGGTGGTTAGGAACAGGAGTTCTTTGTCCTCTTTTTATTTTTTGAGACAGGGTCTAGGCCAGACCTTGTAGTCTAGGCTGGCCTTGACCTCCTGATCCTCCTGCCTCAGCTCCCTCAGGCTGGGATCACATGCCTGTGTCACCACACCATTTATTCATTGATTTAGGAGATGGTGTCTCACTGTAGCCTAAGCTGGCCTTGAACTTGAGATCCTCCTGCCTCAGCCTCCCAGAACTGAGGTGGTGGTGAGGCCATCACACCCAGCACCATGCTTTTAACAGCACCCTGAGCAGAGTCTTCCTGGCCACTCTGTGGACCATTCATTTTGTGTCTGAAGAGTATATGACCAGGGCGAGGGGAACTTTTCTATCCCGGGACCTCTTTAATGGTGAGAGGGACATATATTCCCAAATCCCATCCAGCTGCTGGAGACAGGTAAAAACCAGTCCATGGGGCCTTGTGACATCTCTTGGTGTCTCTTGGTTCCTTGCTCAGGTCTGTGACGAGCCGCATCCCCTGCTGGTGAAGGAGATGATCCAGCATTGCGTGGGAGCCAACATTGATGAGGCCTACAAGGTGGGCCCACCATTCCTCCCCTGGTTCCCACAGTGCCCCCTGCCTTTCAAGGAGAGCAGTAGGAACCTGAGGTGGTTACGGGACTCTGCGTCTGCCCTTAACCCTAAAAGTCACTCCCGGCATTGTGTGCACTTTTGAATTTGGTGCTGCCCTGTCATTCTGTGGGAACACCCAACCAAAGCTGCTTATAGAAGGAAGGGCTTATGTGGACTTATAGTTGGAGAGGGTGCCCTCCAGCGTGGCAAGAAGGCATGGTAGAGCACATGAGGCAAGAGCACATGCCTCAGACCCCACCCACCTTGATGGTCAGGAAACAGTGGACAGGGCAGGCTATAGTGGCTCTACCTCCCAAAACAGTGCCACTAGCCAGGGACTGACTTAGCACGAGCCTAACCACTCAGAACTTAACACAGACCACGCAGCTGGGATTTGCTGAAGCTGACCCCTTGCCCTTAGCCACACAAGTAATTGGCCTGGAATCCAGCATGTCTTTCTGCTTTAACTACATCCTCCACAGAAATCTTAGCCTGAGGCACAAGGAAAGAGCAACCCAGCCCCACAGTGATACAGTGTTGTCTTGGGTAGACAGGTCAACATCCCAGACTATGGGGCCATTCCAGAGCCCCATAGTCTCCCAGCAGCCACAGAGGAGGACCAACAGGGGTTTAGGTTGGAGGTAGAGCCTGGTCCTGTGAGCAGACTCCAGTGGGCATGGGTGGAGTGTAGGTGGCTTGAATCATGTGGGTGTCAGTGTTATGGTTCAAGGCTGTTGATCTTATAGCCTTCTCTCCCTCACCTCCTGAGAACTAGGCTAGATGTTGACTAGATCCAGAGCTGGCTTGAAACTGGGGTGCCTTACAGGGAGACCAAGGCAGAGGCTGGTCACTGAGGGTAGCTTTCTGATTTAAGAATATAGCTTTCTCATCCCCCAGAAATCCACCCCCAAAATGCCAAGGCTCAAGGGACTGTCTCTAGACCCCTACCCACAGGCTAGGGAAAGTGGGTGGGAGGGAGGAGAGAAGGCAGGAAACTTCTAGAACCCCCTGGTTAGGTTGTCTGGGGCCGTCATGAGGGGCCTTCATGACTCTGAGCCAGGGAAAGCTGGCTGGTGAGTGGTTCCACCCAGAAGGCTCCCATAAAAACAGGATGCGGGCAAGGTATCAGGCCATCTTGCCTGTGGTTGAAAACATGGGAACTGCTGGGAAAATGAGTTACGCTAACCTGGATGACAGCAGGTGACACAGCAGTGTCACTGTAAGCCTAGCACAGCTCAGTAGGGGTCAGGTGATTCTCAAAGCCACACAGGGTTCTGGAACAAGCTGTTGCTTCCCACATTGTGATAGACAGAGGCAGTGGGTGGACCCACCTCCCCATTGTCCTTACAGGCCAGCTTTTGTTCAGATCCTGTTGTGTCTTTTGTTTAGATTCTTGCTCACCTGTGGCACCTGGGCTACTCACCCGAAGACATCATTGGCAACATTTTCCGAGTATCTAAAACCTTCCCAATGGCTGAGTACTTGAAACTGGAGTTCATCAAGGTCAGTTGGAGCTCAGGACACCTGTGCACCCTTTGCCTTGTTTTGAGTTGGCTTATGCTTGTTTTGTTTTCTGAGACAGTCTCATGCCATGTAACCTAGACTGACCATAGCGATCCTCCTGCCTCAGCCTTCTGATAGCTAGGATTCCAGGCACGTGCAGCATGCCCCTGGCACCTTCTTATAGCTGAGTGATGTTCTGCTGGGTGGCCTCACAGAACACCTGTTCAGGTGAGGGGCATGTGGGTTACTATGGCTAAAGCCACTGCACACATTGAACGTAATATGGACCAGTGTGAATGCCAGCTAAGTTCTCAGTCCTCTTGGGTGAGTTCCCAAGAGTGAGGTGCCTGGTCAGATAAGTTTGTGTTTACTTTTACAAAAAAATTGGCTGGGTATGTGGCTCAGTTGGTAGAGTGCTTATCTAGCATGCATGAAACTCTGGGCTTGATTCTCAGCACAGGAGGCATAGTGGCCCACACTTAGTACTGTGGAGGAAAAAGCAAGAAGATCAAGGTCATTAAGTTCAAGGTCATCCTTGGCTACCTAGGGAGTTTGAGGCCAGGCTGGGCTGCATGAAACCCTGTGTCAAAAAAGAATCCAGGGCCTGTAGAGATAGCTCAGCAGTTAAGAGCATTGGCTGCTCTTGCAGAGGACCCATGTTCATTTCCCAGCACCCACATGACAGCTAACAACAGTCTGTAACTCCAGTTCCAGGGGTCTGAAGCCCTCTTCTGGCCTCCAAGGGCATTGCAGGCACATGGTGCCCTTCCATTCCTGCAGGCAAATCAAAAAAACCCTTCAGGTTGGAGCCATGGTTCTGTATTATGTTTACTTGGCACACACCAGACCCTGGCTTAGATCCCTATCACAGAAAAAAGGAAAACAATCTCTTTAGGAAATAACTTGAGTGAAACATGGCCCCTTGTGTTTTAGTACTATGTTTTGGGTTCATTGTATCTGTTATGAGCAAACCAGTAGTTCAGATGAAAAGGAAAAAAAAAAGTGGTGGCCACTTATCTACCAGTATGTTTGCTTGTGTTTCAGGAAATCGGCTATACCCACATGAAAGTGGCTGAAGGCGTGAACTCCCTTCTGCAGATGGCAGGGCTCCTGGCCAGGCTGTGTCAGAAGACTATGGCTCCGGTGGCCAGTTGAATTGGGGACTCTTTTCACTGATGTGCTGATCAAGGGAAATGATGCCTGAGCCTGGCACTAGAACATGCTGACTTTACCAGGCTCTCATGTATCCCAGGCTGGCCTCAACACCTTGAGCTCCTTATCTTCCTGTGTCCATCTCCCAAGTGCTAGATTACAGGTGTGCACTGCTATGCCTTGTTTATGCAGTGCTGGGGATGGAGCCCAGGGCTTCCTGTATGCTAAGCAAGTACTCTGTTAGCCAAGCCACATTCTCCAGCCCTGCGCCTGACTTAAATTCTAGTGGTTTACATGTTGCTTCTGATGCATCTCTATTCTTTGAGTATTTGAATTCAGCCTCAGACTTGGGGACTTGGGAACATGGTAAGAAGGCCATACGGTGTTGGCATTGTAGGTAATAAATCCTCTCGATGTTTGTCTTGGAATGTTTTATTACTTGAGGCCTCAAGGAAGACTAGCGTGGGCCTGTGAGGTAGCCCAGCAGGTACAGCGCTTGTACAAGTGAGACATCCTGAGTTCCAGCCCTAGAGCTCACCTAGAGGTTGAAGGAGAGAGCCAACTCCACCAAGTTGTCCTCTGACTCCACGTGAGTGCCCACGAGCACATCATACACACATGACAATGAATAAAATTTAACGATTGGAGATAGAGCTAGGCAGAGTGCCACTTGCCTGTAGTCCCAGGCTCCCAAAAGCTGAAGCAGGAAGGTCATGAGTATACCAACCTCTGCGGTACAGTGAGCACCAGGCCAGAACAGGTTTTGGGCAAGCTGGCCTGGAACTTGCTGTGTAGACCAGCCTGGCCTAGAACTCAAAGATCCACCTACCTCTTGTCTCCCAAGTGCTGGGATTAAAGGTATATGCCACTATGCTTGGTCTGATACACTAACATGTGGTATCTGTTTATTGGAATGAATCTGTGAGGTCCTGTGAAAGGGGCCAGACATGGACTCCAAAGACCTGGCCACAACCCTTTCCTCTCTGCACCCCAGGGCTTTTTTCTATTGAACAAAAGTATTAGCCTTTTCCTTCAGAAGTCTTTATCCGAGCCAGGCATGGTGGCACAGGCCTGTAACTCCAGCACTTGGGAAGCTGAGGCAGGAAGATTGTCATGAGTTTAGTGCCAGCATGGGCTAGCAACATAGACTCAAAAAGACAAGGGCGAGTTAGGCGTGGTGGCGCATGCCTGTAGTCTCAGCACTCGGGAGGCAGAGGCACATGGATCTCTGTGAGTTCAAGGCCAGTCTGGTCCACATAGTGAGTTTCAGCTGGGGCTTCTGGGAAACCCTGTTTCAAAAAGACAAGAAAAATAAAAGACAAGGGGGATGGGCAGCAAGGAGGGCTCAGTAGATAAAGGCACTTGCCACACAAGCCTGGTGACCTGAGTTTGATTAAAGGTGGAGGGGGAGAACCAACTCCAAAGTTGTCCTCTGACTTCCACCTGGGCCATGGCACACATGCCAATCCACACGGTAATAAAGGGGGAAGGGCAGGGGAGATGCTCAGTGGGGAAAGTGCTTGTATGCAAGCATGAGGACCTGAGTTGATCCCCAGAACCACACAAAAATGGGTGCAGTGGTTTGTACCTGTGACCACAGTGCTGGAGGTTGGGGATAGGAGGGTGCCTGGGGCTCTCTGGCTGGCCAGCCTAGCCATCAGTGAGCTCCAGGTTCGGTGGTAGGCCCTGTCTCAAAAATAAAGTGGAGAAGGACTGGAAAGATGGCTGAGTGATTACAAGCTTGTGTAAAAGGACCTGAGTTCAGTTGCTGACACCCACATCCAGCAACTCACAACCACATACAACTCCAGTTTCAGGTACTCTGGCACCCTTTGCTGGTCTCTGCAGGCAACGGCACACATACACATAAACACAAACACACATAAGTAGGCCCTGTGTGGTGGTGCAGACCTTTAATCCCTGCACCCAGGAGGTAGAGGCAGTCAGATCTCTGTTTGAGGCTAGCCAGGCCTACACAGTGAGACCCTGTCTCTAAATAAAGCCAGGTGTGGTGGTGCACACCTTTAGTCCCAGAGGTAGGTGGATCTCTGTAAGATTCAGGCCATCCTGGTCTATGTAGGGAGTTCCAGGCCAGTTGGGGATACAGGGGGACCCAATCAGGGCCAGTCTCAAGGTGGAAAGCAATAGAGGAGGATGCTCAACCTTTGGCACTCACCTACACACACCCACACAAACACAACCACACACAAAAACTGAACAGGAAAAAGGTTGAAGCAGAGGAACATAGGCGGTGGCAGAATAACCGCTCATGGTTTATTGGGATGTTCGGTGGGAGGCTCACTTTCCCTAATGGCATTTTGACCTTTAAACTCTCTATAGACCGTGCCCTTCCCACCACACAGACCCAGAGGCCACTCTGGAGCAGAGAGCCCCAGGATAGCAGAGCTGGCCATGACCATTGTTACAGCCACATTACCAAACTGCGCTGTACCTCCATCCACTGCAGACAGTAGTCCCTATCAAAGGGATATCAGGGCGGTTTGGCCTTGTTCCTACTCCAGTGAATGGAAGCTCGGAACAAGCAGGTGCCCTCACTGAAGGGCCAAGGAAACCCTGGCTCCCCAGACTCATCCGTTCAAGTTATTTAGTACTTGTAATGCTTTCTGAAAGACAAGATAGAAACTTGGACATTTTCCTGAAATCTGCAGTATTAAATATTGCTCCATCTATATAAGTTAACTATAGGAACAGGCATTTAAAATCCCCCCAAACAAATATTAATAAGCAATTTGAGGTCCAAACCAAAGAAAAAATAAAAGATGCAAAGCCAGCTGTTGTGCAATCCTGTGATCCCAGCACGTGAGAGTCTAAGACCAGAGGGTTGTAAGTTCAAAACCAGCCTGGGCAATATAAGGAGACCCTGTCTCAAAATTAAAACAGAACACAAATACCACTGTTGTACAATGTTTTAGATATGGGGATGGGGCAGGGATGCAGCTTGACCTGAATCCTGGCCCTCCAATCACAGCAGAGCCAGGTGTCACCAGGCCCCTTGCTCTGCCCACAGGAAGCCTGGGTCATGGTTTGAGGGCTGCAGTCCCAGTGCTTCCCAGTGCAGTTCCCAAGCTGTCCTCCAGATGTCAGTGTCCCTGCCGGGAGCAGCCATAGCAAGTCTGAAGGTTGAGCATCACTGGAAAACGATCTTCAGGAGGCAGCGAACTCTTCCTGAGCTCATGATTCCCTCAGGCCCTTTCATGAGAGGAAAGTTTGTCAGGGAAAAGCTTCAGGGCTGGGGAGATGGCTCCTGGTAAACTGCTTGCCAGGCAAGCAGGGGAACTTGAGTTGGATTCCCCAGAACCACAAAGAAGCTAGGTGTGGTGGCACATGCTTCTATCTCAGCACTGGGAAGGTAGAGACAGGTCGGACTCCCTGGCCAGTCAGCAAGCTCCAGGCCAGTCAGAGACCCTTTCTCTCTGGAGATATAACTCAGTGGGTAGTAGAGTACTTGCCTAGTAGACACAAACTTCTGGGTGTTCCAACACATTCCCGTAATCCCAGCACTTGGGAGGTGGAGGCAAGAGGATTGAGAGTTCAAAGCCAGCCTTGGCTACACAGCAAGTTCAAGGCCAGTCTGGACTACATGAGACCCTGACTCAAAAAACTAAAGAGGGGGTTAGCGAGATGATTCAGTAGGTAAGTGCTTGCCACAGAAACCTGACAACCTGAGTTCAATCCTGAGAACCCACCCAAAGGTACAAGGAGAGAACCAACTTTACAGTTGTCCTCTGGCCTCCACTCATCATCATCATCATCATCATCATCATCATTTTTATAATAAGTATCTTGCACTGATTGTGCAAATGGAGCTCCCATCATCATTTTTAAAAAGAGGGAGCTGGCGAGATGACTCCGTATATAAAGGTGTTTGCTGCTAAGCCTGACAACCTGGGTTCAATCTGGGGACTCATATGGGGGAAGAACCAACTCCCACAAGTTATTCTCTGACCTCCACACAGTCACCATGGCACAGGTACACACACATACATATATGCACAGACATATGCAGATACATAGACACACAGACACACTAGCTTTAATTGCCAACTTGACACACTAGACTCACCTGGGAAGTGTCTCAATGAGGGATTGTCTAGATCAAGTCGACCTGTGGGCATGTCTGTGGTCATGACCTGTGATTATCTTTGTTTTAATGATTTTTTGTATGTTATGTGTATGAGTATTTGCCTACAAGTATGTAAGTGTACCACATGTGTGCCTGGTACCTGTGCATTCCAGAAAAGGGTGTTGGATCCCTTAGAATTGGAGTTACAGAGGGTTGTTAGATGCCATGTGGGGCTATGAACCAAACTTGGGTCCTCTGCAAGAGCAGCCAGTGCTCTTGAACTCTGAGCCATCTCTCCAGACCCTAGGATTGTCTTTTTAAAACATACTATTTATGTGTATGTATAAATGAAGTATCCATGGAGGCCAGAAGAGGGCATCCTATCCCTTAAAACTGGAGTTAGTGGCAGTTGTGAGCTTCCCAACATGGGTGCTGAACTCAGGTCCTCTGAAAGAACAGCAAGCACTCTTAAGCATGCACCATCTCTCTAGCTCCACTGGGAGGACTGTCTCGATTGATGTGGGAAGACCCAGCCTGCCGTGGTTGGTATCATCTCCTGGTTTGGGGCCCTGGACTGTGTAAAAGTGGAGAAAGCAGGCTTGAGCACCAAGCATGCATTCATCTCTCTGCTCCTGACTGTGGATGTGAGGTGACCAGCTGCTCAAGTTCCTGTCCTGACTTCCCCATGTGATGAGCTAAAATAAACCCTTTCTCCCCTAAGTTGCTTTTTGTCAGGGTGTTTTATCACAGCAACAGAAATGAAACCAGGACCCCATCCCCCAACTCAGGCACAATGAAGATTTAGACATATCCAATGATCACATCCCTCAAATACACAAAGGCCCACTCTTGCTGTGTGGGGGCCCAACAGCTCTTCTGCCTTGACTCAAGGAAACACCCACCAGGTTGCTTCACACAGTGGAGATGGGACTGTTCCCTCCATGCTGTTCTCTGTGCCAACCTGGACAGCGGATGCCACAGCCTAAGCCCAAAACCACCCCCCTGCAGACGGCGGTGTCTGCCAGCAGACCGAATGATGTCCACTCTGTCCTCTCCTGCATCTCCATCTCCCTCCCTTCCCTCGAAAGGAAAGCTTGCCAGGCATGGAGGCTCACACCTGGAATCTCAGCACTCTGACTCCCCTGGGCTTGGCCCGGCCAGGTCGGCCTCCAACCTCACCCACACTCTTGGTCACCAACCACCTGCTCTCCTCCCCGTGTCCCTGTTTTGGCCTGTTCCAGCTCCTCCATCCCTCACCTGTTCTACCAGGATGTCCTCCCCATGAGGAGTGAGGCAGGGAGTGCCTTGGACCTTATCTAAATTGCGACAGACTCCATCACCCTTACTCCACGTTTCTGCCCCCATCCCCTCCCTGTTTTTCTCCATAAGACCTATTGCCAGGGAAAATACAGCCCTTTTTGTTGAGATCCCCCTGTCTCTGCTTTCAGAGTTCTGGGATTGCTGGCATGTACCACCTCACCTAGCACATTGTAATTCTTGTATGTTTGTTTTACCACTTATTTAATTTCTTTTTTAAATATTTTATTTTTTGTTTTTATTTTATGTGTATGAGTGTTTTGTCTGCATGTGTGTAAGTGTGCCTGTGTCATGCAATGCCCATGGAGGTCAGAAGAGGGCATCAGATACCCTGGAACTGCAATTATGGACAGTTGTTAGCTGCCATGTGGGTGCTAGGAATCAAACCTGGGTCCTCTACAAGAGCAGCCAGTATTCTAACCACAGAGCTATCTCTCCAGCCCATCTGATTTCTTTTTTATGATGTATTTTTTCTTAGCCAGGTATGGTGGCGCATGCTTTTAATCCCAGCACTCAGGAGGCAGAGGCAGGCAGATCTCTGTGAGTTCAAGATCAACCTGATCTACACGGTGAATTCCAGGCCAGCTGGGGCTACAGAGAGACGCTGTCTCAAAAAAGACCAAAAAGAAAAAAAGACCAAAAAAAAAAAAAAAAAAGACCAAAAAAAATTTTTTTTTTCTTTTATACATATGAGTGTTTTGCCTGCATGTGTGTGTAAGTGCACCACATACATGCAGTGCCTGCAGAGGCCAGAAGAGGGCACTGGATTCCTTGGAACTGCAGTTAAAGATGGTTGTTTGCCACCATGTGGGTGCTGGGAATTGAACCAGGGTCCTCTGCAAAAGCAGCTAGTGCCCTTAACCACTGAAACATTTCTCCAGCCCCCTTCTTTTGGATTTTAGAGACAGTCTCTTGGCCTCAAACTCATTATGTAGCCTAGGTTAGCCTTGATTCCTGATCATCCTGCCTCTACCTCCCAAGTGCTGAGATTCCAGGCCTGTGCAATCATGCCTAGATTCTTCATTTTATGTTTATTATTTCTTATTTTTCTCAGTGCTAGAGATGTGTTCCAGGCAACTGCTCTACTACCATGTGGGTGCTAGGCCACACGCAAGCCTCTCACTGGGGGATTCTAGACAGGAGTTCTACCACTGAGCCTTGTCCCCAGCCCCTCACTGGGGGATTCTAGGCAGGTGCTCTACCACTGAGCACCTGCCCCAAACTGGGGGATTCTAGGCAGGTGCTCTATTTCTCAATAGAGGCTGTGTGCAGTATCCTGTCTCACAGGTCAATGCCAGCAGCTCTATTTTGTAAGTGAAGAAATGGGTTCTGGGGTGCTAAGGTACTGGGAGATCCTACCCCTCCACAGTTCACTAGCTATCTCTCCCAAATACTTCCAGCACTCCTGGCCCTCTCTACACAGTGCCACCCGTCACCTGGCCAAGCCTACCCCTCCTGGGTCCCCCATCCCACAGAAAGCAGAGCAGGAGGACTGCAGACAGCATTTCATTTTGCTTCTGGGAGACATAGTCCTAACCCCCCTCCCCACACCCCAGCCACTGAGGCCTCATTCACTCAGCACCCTGCTCTTCCCCAGATTGGAGCCCTGTAGTCTGGTATGTGTCCCGCCCCCAGCCCCCAGCTCCAGGACAGCTACAGGGGAGCTGTACCTTCCTTCGTCTCCTCTAGACTTTCCCAGCTGCGGCCACATCCCCGTTCACATAGTCCGCCTCCCCAGAGTCATCGTCCGGGCTTCCCACTGGGGATGACTGTACACCTGTGGATCAGGACAGCTGGGTGTAGGGACAGTCCATAGGCACACACCACCGATGTCCCCCAGCCAGGGTGCTCAATTCCCAGACCCCACAAAGCAACAGCAGACAACAATATCACATGGAATCAGACTCTCCATGTCTGTCATTGCAATTTGTCAGAAATTCTTTTCAAGAGCAAGTCCATCCACTGGGCTGGGTGACCAGCTCGAGACAAAGCTGTAGCAAAGGGGAATTCTGGTAAGAGTGCAAGGCCTCTTCAGCCTCAGGGGCGATGGAGGTTTCACTATGGAGTCACCCAGGCTAGCACTCTCAGAACACACACACACACACACACACACACACACACACACACACACACACACTCTCTCCATCCCTAATAGCCTCTGCCCTCAGGGTACATACCTGTAGCCCTCCTGGACTCTTGCCACTGATGAATGGATGCTGAATTCTGGTAATCCTCAGAGTCCTCACCACCTATTGGGAGGGGGCAGGGAGTTAGGAACTCTGAATAGATGCAGGGAGTCAGGAGAAAGTCCCCTCCAAAAGGGATGGCTCTAGTCAGGGAGGACAAGTCCTTCAAAGGCTTTCCTCTTGAGGGGTCTCCTGTTAGCACCATTGGAGACATGGAGAAGGCAGGTGAAGGCTCTGAGTCCTGGGGCCTCGCCTCTTAAGCACGGGGGTGGGCCCGGCTCAGGATGCCAACCCCTGCCCTGGTCTGCTTTCTCAGAGGGGCAGCCTCACCTGACTCGGGGGTGCTAGGCTTGCAGATGAGCACGTTTTCATAGGAGTTGGAGTCATCATCTGTCAGTGGAAAGAGTTGGGAGGGACCTGCAGCTGGGTGCTGTCTACAATCCCCTGCTGTCCCTCTGCCCTCCTGCCACCCCAGCAGGCCCACCAAACCCTCTCTCTGGGGCCTCAGGGGCTTCAGTATTGTTCTGGATCAGTCACCATTGTTGTTATTGCTGGTTTGCTTTGCATTGTGTGCATGTGTGCAACATGTGTGTGGAGGAAAGAAGAAGACCCCTTATTGTGCAATCCTGGCCCAGGCAAGAGCCAGGAGGACCCAGATGGCAGCCCCACCTCTTCAGGCCCTGGCCTCCTCAGTATCTCTCTTTGTAAAGCAGAAGTGGTCAAGACCAAAGGATCCAGTCTCTCTCAGCCCGCAGGTCTCAGTGTCCATCCGCAAGGCTGTCCTGGCTCATCTGTCATTGGTGCCCATCTGTGTCTGCCCAGCCCTCAGTGACATGTGAGCTGGCCTCCCCAGATGTCCCTACCCACAGCTCCTCCTCTGCTTCCTGTTCCCTCCCTACCCCACTCAGCCCCATCCTCTGTCCGCACTGACCAGCTTCCTTCCGCCCTGCCCACCTTCCCAGCCTGCAGCCTTCTTCCCTCTACCTCCCCACCCTTCTCTGCATGATGCAGACCTATGCCCTGTCCATACCTATGTCCCCCCTCCTCTTCTACATCCTTTCCACCTCATCTTCCACCTTACCTTCTGGAGGCTTCTGGAAACGTCCCCAGTTGTAGTAGTCTATGGGGATGGGGTCTCTGGACAAGAGAACAGAGCAGTGCAGGCTATTGAGCAGGCCTGTCTGGGAGGGGCTCAGGAGGACAGTGAGGCTGGAGCAGCTCCTGTCTCCTAGGACCCTAAGGGAGCTTGGCCTCTGATCCACTTTTGATATTTCCCAGAGCCCCTGAGCCACCTTGGGACTAGAGGGCATAGCTTGACTAGGAGACCTTTAAAAAGCTTGCCTGGGCTGGGCATGGTAGCTCAGGCCTTTAATCCCAGCACTTGGGAAGCAGAGGCAGGCAGAGCTCTGTGAATTCGAGGCCAGCCTGGTCTACATAGTGAGTTTCAGGCCAGCTGGGGCTACAAGGAGACCCTGTCTCAAAAAGACCAAAAAAAAAAAAGCTTGTTGGGGCTGGAGAATGGCTCAGCAGTTAAGAACACTGACTGTTCTTGCAGAAGACCTGGGTTCGAATCCCAGCACCCACATGGCAGCTAACAACTGTCTGTAACTCTGGTTCCAGGGAATCTGACAGCCTCTTCTGTCCTCCTCGGGCATTGTATGACATGGGTGCACTTACCTACATGCAGGTACCACACTCATACACATAAAATAATAAATCTTGCCTAGACTATAATTTTTTAAATTTGTAACCTGAGGGTACATGTCAGGGGTCATTTCTTTTGGGGGTACTGGGCATCCATATACTTTTTTTTTCTGTTATTGTTGTTTTGTTGTTGTTGTTTTGGTTTGGTTTTTTTGTTTTGTTTTGTTTTGTTTTTTGGGTTTTTTTTTTGTCTTTTTGAGACAGGGTCTCCCTGTACCCTGGAACTCAGGCCTTAATTTTTTTTTTTTTTTTTTGAAACTAGGCCTCCCTTTGTAGCCCAAGCTGGTCTTGAACCTGAGACCCTCCTGCCACCTCCTCCCAAGTATTGGGATTATAAAGGCATGTGTCACCATGCCAAGCCCTTTTCCTTTTAAACATGTTTTTTACATTTATTTATTTTGTGTGTGTTAGAGAGAGAGAGAGAGAGAGAGAAAGAGAGAGAGAGAGAGATTGTATGCGAGTGTGCACATGCCACAGTACATGTATAAAGGTCAGAACTCATGTCGTCAGGGTGGGCAGCAAGCTCTTTATTCAATTAGCTAGCTTGCTGGCCCTTTTTTAAAAAAATTAATTTACTTATTTTTACGTGTATGAGTGATTTACCTGCATGTATGTAAGTGCAATGCCCACAGAGGCCAGAAGAGGGCACTGGATTCCCTGAAACTGGAGTTATAGACAGTTGTTAGCTGCCATATGGGTACTGGGAACCAAACCTTGGTCCTTGGCAAGAACAGCCAGTGCTTTAACCACTGAGCTGTCTCTCCAGCACCACCTCCCCCCACCCCCTTTTAAATGGTCTCTGTATTTCAGGCTGGCCTCAAACTTACTGTGTAGAAGAGGAGGGTCTTGAACTCCTGATCCTTCTGCCTTCACCTTCCAAGTGCTGGAGTTACAGGTGTGGCCACCACACCAGGTTTAAGCAATGCTGGGGATGGAACCCAGGGTTCAGTGCTAGGAAAGCACTCTAACAACTGAGCTACAGGCTCAGCCCTTTATTTGGTGGGGGGATAATTGTGGGGTGGCCACATCTTGCTATGTAGTCCATGTTGGCTATGATCCCCTTCCTCAGCCTCCTTTGGCAAGTAACCTGTCTCACCAAATGGCAGGAAGAGTGACCGTCCCCCACCAGATGCTCGTCCCTGAAGCACAGCCACGTGCCATGCCCCACAAAGTCATGGTTACCCCACTAAACTTTTTCAGAGGTGTGTTCTTACTGGATGGTTCATAAATAAAGATACTTGAAGCCGGGCTTGGTGGCACACACCTTTAATCGCAGCATTTGGGAGGCAGAAGCAGGTAGATCTTTTTAAGATCAAGGCCAGCCTGGTCTACATAGTGAGTTTCAGGTCAGCTGGAGCTACAGGGAGGCCCTCAAAAAAACAAAGCCAAAACAAAAACCAATAAATAATAAGATGCTTGGGATGGAGGTAGGAGGGTCTGCAACAAAAAGGGACAAGGGACAAGCCTGCGGGGCAGGGTGAGGACTACTCACACATAGGCAGCATCTGGATCATGTCTGCTTCCTGGAAGAGACCAGATGGGAGAGTTAGGATCTAGACTGAGCTCCAGGTCTGCGACCCCCATGCTTACTCCCCACCCCTGGGAGCCACCCACCTTTGCAGAAGTTCTGGTACCTGGGGGATTCAGGACCTGGAAGGAAGGCCAGACTTGTATTCCCCTGCCCAGCAGGGCAAGCAGTCAGGGCTCCAAGTGATCATACCTTTGTACACAGTCTGCATGTGTGTGCCTTCCCCCCAAGGCCAGTTCCCTCAGTCTCAGCTTTCCACAGAAGGCCTCCCCGACCTAGCACTTGTCCCACTGTCCTGTCTCCCACTGAGGGTCATCCCTGCCTTGTGTCACTCACCCTCGAGGTGGGAAAACAGCAACAGCTTGTCTTTCCTGTAGGGATGGGGCAGGTAGGGGCTGAGGTGGTG